GATATGGCAGTCTCTTATGTTTGAAGGCACTACAGGTGACTAAAATTCGTTGTTCTATTATCATGCATAATTAGTTTAATGCAAATAACGTAGTTTTACAAATAAACTAGGATTACTTTCGCTTTACATCATTCGCAATATTTTGAAAGGAGCTGTTTCGATAGAGACAGAGCTTTTAACAATACATATTGTTTGGCTTACTTAGTCGAGGTAATATATTAGGACAAAGATTAACGCGACCAACTTTATGCTTGCTTGCTCCAACATATGATTGTAGACTTAAATATCCATCGGAACTCTTAGCTTAGGTCAAGTAGGTCTTAATATTCTAGTTCAGATGACTTTTAACATCCATCCCACAAGAAAAAAAAAATCAAACAGAACAACAAAGCAGCTAAGAGACAAAAATAAAATGTTTGTGAGTGCAATAAAGATATAACCAATTTCGTGAAATGTAAGAAAAAGGGTTTTTCTGAAAAGAATATCCAAAGGCATCAGCGAAACACTACCCGTGGTTTACATGTCAACAGGTTACAATTTTCTGTACGTCAGTCTAGAGATAGGTAATAGCTGATGTCAAATTATGGCAAGAAAAAAAAGCGTCACACCGCTGTAGGGCATCTGACTGCGTCGTTGATGTTCTTATTAAATTTTGAAACCCCAATAACTGAATTCTTGGTGCAAAACTTTAGGGATGGCCATAATAAAGTATCTTGCCAGAACACGCATAAACAGACTATGAATGAAAACAAGTTTCTCTCTCAGATAAATTGTTATTCTTTTCATCCATTTATCTAAAGCGATCCACATTCGCACGAAAGAATGCAGCGCAAAGCCAACTTATTATGCTCTAAATAGGAATCCCTTTTAATCACTATTATTTCATCACGCTTTTTAAATATACCATTTCCTTTCATCATGCGTAACACAAAGACAGACCGCAAAATATTTCCGCTCAGCCAGTTTAGATACATTACCAACGGCATTCATTCTAGATAATTGTCTTTGAACATTGGCAACTTTTACCATCAGATTGCAAGTTCTCCATTGATGAACTTGAGCAAAACTCAAGCCAAAAGTCAAAATAATCCTAAAATTAAGAATGAAAAAATTAAGAATAAAAGGAGTGTGCATATTTTCTTTTATTTGTTGTTTTTATAACAGGAGTTGAAAGAGGCAAAATTGGCATAAATCTCGTGGGAAATAATGATTTCCACTGCAAGCGTGTCTCATTCAGCAACAGCTTCTCCGATGGATCGCCCGTTCGTCTATTTGTTTCGATTAACCACGGAAACGAGTCCCACGTTGTCCATGATCCAGCGTTTATTTGGGTGGAGGAAGTCACGACAAATGACTTCAAAGCTTGCCTCGTAAAAGGTGGCCGAGGCATCGAGAGCAACTCCACTACCATCGATTGGTTTGCATTTCAGGGTTCCCAGTCAGGAGTACATCATGGAGAGGCTAGTTTTAGCATATCTAATACTGGTACAAAATGCAAGCAGGTTGCATTTGCTCAGGTAAACTGATTCATATA